TATGTATGATCTGCATTTTTCATACATGTATGGAAATAAATTCATACGTTACATACATAGAGGTTCATACATTACATATTTTCTGTATTACCTGAGAAACCACCTTTAGTCAACACTTTAGCTACATCAATGACTTGAGTCAAAAGTTTCATCATAAATCATTAATACATGATTGGATAATTGTGCACTCCATGTTTCAGATCCAAAATATCAAATGAAATTATTATTAAATTATTATGTGAATTTATGGATATCAATATTGATTGATTAAGTTAATTTGCAATAATAATAATAAACCTTTAATTTCATGAATTATTATTATTATGAATAGTAATAGGGAATAACTTTTGGTCTTTGCTTGAAAAAATAGAGGAAACAATAGATCATTAACACTAATAAATAAAACTCTGTGATAGAATCATAAACTTTTAAAAATAAAATACAAATAAAAACATTGTTTTTATTTTCTTTGTTTAAAGCACTTTTATAAAAGCAACAAGTGTAGTTAGTTAATTCATTGGTAAAAGGCAACAATTGTGGAGCTTTGGTAAAAATCCGCATTTTATTTTCTTTAGTGAGCAAGCAAGATTAGGTATAACTAATAATGAAGTAACATCCAAGGTTAATTGGAAATACTGGTAGTGTTATTGTAATTGTAAATGTAAGACTGTTAAATAAGTCAGTTAATTGCAGGCAACTGACAATAATTTGGTGCTTGTCAATTAATTTACAAATTTACCTTAGTTCTTGATTACTGCCTTTTTATGAATCTGTGAGCATACTCAATGGTACTAGTTAACTGTAAATAAATAAAGATGGCCCTTTTATAAACCATAAAGTTCTTTTTATTCATTTGTGATTGATTTATTTAGTCATTTACACTTACTTATTGGCCAATTGCCAAATTCACTTTGGTTTATTTGCAAAACAATTTAACTGACAAGAATAGCCCAAAAGTTGAGCCATCAATCAAGATGATACATCGCAGTATCATCATTTAACAAGAATCAAAAAACAGTAAAACGTTTATTATTTGGAGCATGCTCCAACAAAACCAGACAAAGTGAACATTGGTATTTACCAAGGGTTTCAGGGATCAAAATTTAGTCATTATCATCACATTTATAATGTGATTGCAGTTTTATAATTTTAGTATGAATGTAAGGGGTGTAATTATAAAATCATAAAAAAAGGACTTTATTGAAGTTAAATAGCCATTATAATTTTTAGATTCAGTATCCAATATATTTTCAACAAAAGGTTCAACTGACTCATTATTTTCTGTTATCAAATAAATAAACAACTTTTATAGTCACATGTAAAATATTATATGATACAAATTAATGGGGGAAGGAAATTCGCCTGGGTAAGAAATAAATGTTCCCTTATATATTACACATGTAAAATTATAACTGTAATTATTTGGCCATTGTGCACAAAACATTAAATATAAAAGATATTTAGTACAAAGATTTTTTTTTATGATAATGATAATGGTAAATTCTGCAAAGGTAAATATTATAAAATCAAGTATTTTGTTATTAAACAATTTTACTTATCATTGATTCCAATGACAATAAGATTTGATTTGTTTAAATATTAAGATATCAATATTTTTATCCGAGAACTTTTTGATTTCCATAGAGTATACTGTTGAAATCTAGTTCATCTTGTTTTGTAACATATAATTATATTTTTCTTTTAAGGATTAATAGTTTGTCTATTAAGTTTTTTAAAGAAGTTTTGGATAAATCCCATTTGTTGAATAGACATAATTTTGAAATTTTGCTGGATAATGGTTTACTAGAATTTGAAAAAGTTCTTCAGAGTCAATCTTCCTTTCATAACTATCCAAATATAGTCCCTCAAGTTGTTCACATGATACCAAAATTTGCCTTACATCTTTGACATCAGAAATTGAAGTAGCTAGGTAATGCAAACTTTGATAACAGTATTGAGCTATTGTTTCATTATGTTGTGATAATTTTTTCTTGCCATTTGGCCAGAACCCATATAAATCAAGAACTTTGATTTGTGAACAAAATTTTGTTAAAATTTACTAAGAACATTCAAAGATGGCAATTTACTTCCAATCCTAAGTATTTCCAGTCCTTTAAAAGTGGCTGACATACACATATCTCGGAAAAGGTCTTCTATATTATCATTCACCAAAATCTCCAATACTACCAGGTTTGAAAAATGACCAATTGTTTCTGGTGGCAAACATAACAATCCTCCAGTAAGAGTAAAATATTTTATAGAACTTGAAACTTTAATTAATGCTTTACTGATTTCTTTGTGTAGTTCTAAATTAACAATATTATAAACAGAACCATATACCACACATTCTAAATATTTTTGTAAAGAAATCAAATATGCCAATCCCCAATTATCACTTTTTAAATCTTTAATTACCAATTTCCTAATAATAAGACTACCATGATCATTTTCATTAATGAAAAGTTCATTAGAGCACATTGATGCTAAATGATAATATAAATGTGATAATGCTATGTTATCACAATGTAACTCATAAATTTGTGAAAAACATTCCCTAGTTCCTGATAAATATAGATGGACAAACTTTCATTAACATTTGATAAAAGTTATATTTAATGATATGGAAGAGAATCTATGTCATCATCATCATTTTTCTTTAGTCTCAAACCACAATCAAATACCCAATCCAGATGAAAAGCTGAAAGCACTCGAATAAAACTTGGATAATTAAAAATTGGTAATGGTAGATGATAAATATCTTCTAAAATAATTGTGCCATCATTTGGTAAAAATTCTTTCCCTGCATGAGCTATCAATGATCTCAATAGTGTTGAGAAAAGTTTAGCACCACGTTTTGAATCAGTCAGTGGATCAAGATATCTTTCAGTGTCTCTCCATAAGATTCCAACTGCCCATGTGCACCATACTCGATTCACCAATAAACATAAATGTGATGAGTTCATATCATCTTCTGAATATTCAAATATATATTTTATGCAGCTGTCTGGTAGTGAAATACAAGTTGTTCTTGGTAAAGAGCATGTTGTTCCTTTCATGTTACTTGATGTTTAACAAATAAAATTGTTAGTGTGAACTTTAAATTTTAAACTAGAGTGATGACAAGTGGTGATAGCCACCACCACCATCCTTATGATTATCTTGTTGTCTTTTATTATGCAACATTTTGTTAAAAAAGAAAAAGAAAGTTGATTATTTGATCAACAAACATGTACACACATTAATTATTTATGTATGGAAACCCCTATTGGACAGACATGAATTGGTTTGGCTCTGAAGCAGATGTATTTATAGGTATTTTTTTTATTTGTATTGATGTGTCTTTTAAGTATTTTAATTGAAATCAAAATGTGGAGCAGATCTTGCTGGGTAATTATAAGATCCTTATCAAGATAGTAAGTACACAAATTGGTATTCAAAAAGGACTGGTGCTCCAAAAGGTGATACACTTGGTTGAATATAACCTTTTTTTGATAAGTCAGTCAATTGCTTTTTTAATTCATCTAATTCTGTATAAGACATCTTGTAGATTGGGCGGATTGGAGGTTCTGTCCCTGGAACAAGTTCTATAGTGTGATCTATGGCATGTTTTGGTGGTAATTTCCCTGGAAGTGTTGTAGGAAAAACATCAGCAAACTCTTTCAAAATCTTGTTTACCTCTGATATAATATCCTTCTTTATTAACATAAACAGCAAAAATTTCTTCAGAATTGGGAATCTTTGAAAATTGTTGTCTAGGGATATAAACAGAATTACAACTTGTTTCACTAGAAGTTTTGTGACCTTAATTACAATTTTCTTGGTACTGTTGTACGTGAAAATAAAATTATGTGAATTTGCAATTTACATATGTGAAATTCAAATTAGCCAATCAGAATTTCACCCCATTCCATAATATTTCAAATTCACATACAACAGTACCATAAATGAAAGTCAAGGTATTTGCTTGCCAATCTATAGTTGGATTTGCATGATATAACCAAGGCTTTCCTAAGATAATATCATATCTCTGTATCTTCATCACTTCATGTCTATTCCTGATGTTTGATAAATTCCTAATTCTAAATTTTTAATTTCTACAATTCTATTTGTTGTTGATTTTCATTCATCTGCTAGTTCTAATTTCATAGGCAAAATCTCTTTTGTGATAATCTTATTCTTTAATACAAAATTTTCATTAATAAAATTTTTAGAAGCTCCACTATCAAGTAATAATCCATGCTGGATATCCATTAACCTTGCCTTTGAATCTCAACAAATTTTCTCAATTACCCTCAGCATTGACCAATTCTAAACTATTAGTTGATGATGGTGATGATGGTGGTGATGAGGATGGTAATGATAACTCTATAGTATTAACCTTAAATTTTGTTCTTGGCCCAACAATTCTTAGTGTAATGGCCTGGTTTCTCACATTTATAACAATTTCCTTTAAAACTTTTTTATTGTTTTCTCTATTGTTGTCATTATTAATATTATAGAAATTTTGTCAAGTTTCTACCTGATCCAATTCCATAGGTACGTATTTACCATTACCATTGTCATTACTATTACAGTCAGGGTTTTTACCAAATTTGGAAATCGATTCTAGAATGATCTACATAATTTTAATAGGCTCTTGTGCATTCATTTCCGTTGTAAAAACTTATGTTTCATGTGACTTTACACAAATAAATTTTGTTGTAATTTTAAACCATATCATAAAAATAAACAAACAAGTATTCATATTTTAATAATCACCAAAGAGTTTGAAATAATCACCCAGACTTCAAAAAGTAAATGAGAGCTAAAAAATTGAAAATTTGCATATTTTTTATGTTGAGTCGCGGAAATTAATAATTTTTTTATAATAATAATAATAATTTTATTATTAGTGACAGAATACCAAAAGATACAAGCCAAAGATCTTCCATGTATTTTTGCTAACTTAGTCGATCTATACACAGATAAGGGCTTGAAACCATGTGCAGTAAAGAAGAATCAAACATGGCGTTATGCTAGTAGTAAAGCAGCAGCTGAAAAACTACAAGCCTGTCATAACTATATCCCTGAACTCATTCATATTTCATTAAATTCTTTTTCTGTTTGTGAGGTACATTATAACCAAGTTATATCTACTAATAAATTTTATGAAACTCTCTCAAATTTAAATACAGGCAAAATTGACACTCCTGTTGTAAAAAAAAAAAGATCATGTGGAAACAATACTTCTAGCATTAATACTGACACAACTGTTCAGTTTACTGAAGCAGAATTTGCCAACAATGAATCTGTTCCTATAGAAGAATTCCAAAGAATAAAAAATTTGTTGGAGTTACATGAACTGGAATGTTGGAACAAATCACAACTTATTGTAGAACTTAATAATGAAATCACACAACTATCACATCAATTAGAAGATCAAAATCATGAAATAGATGATTTAAAAAAGAAATTAATTGAAGTACAGGATCAAAACAAAGTTCCTTATGAGCAGTGGAATTCACATATTGAACAACTGTCACATCAACTTGGAACTCAAACCCATGAAATAAAAGATTTAAAAAAAAAATTAGTTGATTCTTACGATCAATTAACTGAAGCAATGGAAAAAAACAAAGTTCTTGTTGAGGAATGGAATTTGCATTTTAGCAATCAGCCAAAACGTATAAATTCTATTATAGAAATTGCACTTGCTGAACGTGATTCTCTGTATGAGGATATTGAATCATTAATTAGAAATAATAATAGGTTCTCATTAGAAAACATTATGAATTATACTCCTAAAACTTGGTTAAATGGACGTAACCAAGTTATTGTAAAGTTCATTGAAACTCTAACTCAGAATACAAATACTTACTATTCTGATGAATTAAGCCAAGAAAAATTCTTCAAGAGAGCTGTTGCAGTTGATGCAATATATGGTTCACGTCATGGTAAATATGTATCAGAAATTAATCTTGCAGCATCAGCTGTAAAATATTCCATGGTACGTTCAAAAAAAGTCATTAGCATAGATAACCATATAACAAGCGCAGGGAGTTATTCTATGTTTCGAACTTGGTTAGAAGGATTGGCAGAAGAAGAAGAACCTTTACCTAATGGACTTTTGTTCCTTGCATTTGATAATGAACAAAGAGGACAAAAAAATTATCTTGATCGTGGATTTAATACAGTGATTTATCATATAGTCACAAGTTTTGTTGCATTTAATATGGAATCACAGAATGAAATTCAACATACTGATACTCCTTGGTTACATGATTCTTTAAATAGATTACAATATGAAGAAATTTTTGATATTTCTTTTCAAATGGAAGAAGAAATTAATAAAGAATTGTATGCATATCTTTCTGAAATTCTTGGCTTGTTGCATGAGGAAAAATCATCAACAACTAATAATATTGAAGCTCTTATTGCAAATAGTGTTTCAAATGATAATTGTAACAAACAATGTCTAAGCTGTGGTGAAAGGAACATTGAGAATCGAAAACAAACTTGTCCAATATGCAAAACTCAACTACTTACCTTGACAGAATTACAACAACAAATTACAATAGAACCAGAAATAGACTTATCTGATCAACCATTAAAGCCAACTATTTTTAAAATTCATAGGTTTGAAGATGAATACAATAATACTACCAATCCATGTATTAGTGCCACTCAAATACCAATTGCTGATGAAGGTGTTAATGTTCCTGGATTTTATGTTCCTGATCCAATTAACATCAATCCTAATTCAATTTCAAATGTTGAAAAGGTTCTCCATCACATAAAGAAAATATCAGGAATTGAGGATGGAACATGTAAATGGATTGCAGTAGAATGTGATGGTGTTCCATATCATCATATTATCAAATTAAAAAGAAGATCAGAAATTCCTTGGTTGGTTCCTATACCTGGACAATTGCATGAAGAAATGAATATGCTTCGAGCATATGTTGAATTAAATTGGTAAGTTTATAATTTGTTTTATTTAAAATCCATAATTATATTTATATTGATTTATTATATTTATATTAATTTATAATGTTTATATTATATTTATATCATATATATATATATATTCAATTTAATTAATTTTATAATGTTTATATTAATTTATTATATTTATATTAATTTAATTATATTTATATTAATTTTATAATGTTTATATTAATTTATTATATTTATATTAATTTAATTATATTTATATTAATTTATAATATTTATATTAATTTTATAATGTTTATATTAATTTATTATATTTATATTCATTTAATTATATTTATATTAATTTATAATATTTATATTAATTTATTATATTTAAATTAGGGAGATTGATCTTAAACAGTTTGCAATATGTCAAGGTTACAAAAATGATAAACAGCTTGCTTATTTTAAAAAATGTTATGATCATCATAAGTCCTGGGATTCTGTCTGTAACATATATCGTCAAGCAATGTCTCTGGAGCTTATGTGGCCTTATGTAAAAAATCATTCTAATCCATCAGTTGAAGGATACATAGTGTGGGCTAAAGGACAACAGGATCCAATTTATCAAATAAAGTATGAACAGGTGGGAAATTTTAATATTATTTGTTAATTAAATACATAGACTTATTGGATTAAACATTAATAGTTTATAAAAATTGCATAATAGACATTTTATTATTTGCAAGCCATTATCAATTATAGAACAGCTGTAAGAACTAATCGTCCTTTATTAAAAAGTGCTGCAAGAAGAGCCTTTTCTCCAATTTGGTCAGCTCGTCGCCATCCAATTTATCAATTAATTGAAGTTGCAGATGAAGTACAATTAATGCAACTTCATCCAAGTATACGTGATTTGGTGGAGAAATATTGTGTATTATCCAGATCAGGATTGTTTAACCAGCATCAAGGGTTAGATGCAATTTTAGAAGAAGTGAACAAGACATTAAAATCTTTAATACCTCCTGTGCCACAACTACATCATTGGAAAATTGCTGCTCGTAACTTAAAAAAATTTTTTCAGGTAATAAAATTTATTATATATATTTATCCAATTTATAATAAATTTAACTGTGAACCAATT